TCAAGCATTTTTGTTGTAATACTCATTTTGGCCACAACTGGCTTAAGTAAACTACCCCATGTTCTGAATAGGACTGAAATCATTCAACCCCAACATAGGACACAAACTTTTTACGTCAAACTTAGAACATGGATAACAAAAATTTATTTTTTATGTCACTTGCCACTTGGTTATGTAATCTTTCAGTTTGCTAAAGGGACGGTAATCTGACGTTTTTGGAAGAGCAGGGAAGGTTTTTTCAATTTACACAGATTTCTTTTATAAGGTTATAGGTCACACTCTTAAATTATTTATGTCTCTTTAGTAATTAATAATGAATCACGTTGTACCAATACTTCTATATATTATTTTGAGATATAGGGGGGAGAGTATTTTTTTCACAGTTAAGGGAAGGGTCCACATAAAATAGCAATACTGCAGTGGAGGATATTGCATTTTATACCTCCCCCACACCAGTACTTGTACAGTCCCTTAGAAAAACAAACGTGTCAATTGTACAAGTATTAAGTACTTTGAAAGCTGTGACTTTGACCCATTGGCCCACCTTACCCAACTGGGTAACAGGGAACAGACACCAGACAGGTGTTAGAGCTAAGCAATGTTTATGTTTGGGAAATAATATGTTGATTTGTCATATAGGCAACAAGCATTATTCTAAGAAGCTGAACAATTGTCTTTAAGGCCTAAAGCACCTTCAGTGTTTGTAAATTGTGTGTAAGCATCTTGGTTTTAGAAATACTAATTACTCGAATGTTGGAGCAAAAAAAACATTCAGTTCGTAATTCAGTTACAGCTAATCAAATGCCAAAGGAAAAGCACCCTGAGACTGAATTGACATTGATGTTCACGATAGTGTATGTTCTGTTGTATGTGTGCTGCAGCTCCTCTAATTGCTGATATAAGCTAGATTTAAGAAAACTCTCAAGATAATCTTTGCTCCATTAAGAGGATTTTAGGCTCAATGGTAAGTAAGCCTATGTACTGGTGTATGTTTCCAGCGTCTCAGCCGGTAACTGACAAAAAAGGCAGGAAAACCCAAATGTAGGGGTCAAAACTTGAGCATTTGTTTTTTTCTGAGTTATTTCTGAGAAATCTACAGTATTAATCCGAACCCAATATTTGGGTTACTAAAAAGTTATACTTCGAGTAACGCAAGTCATCTATAATTAAGTGCTAGCATACACACTGTCGAGCTAGCCCTGGTGCCAAAACCGTCATCAGACAATGTAATATAATGTGACCAATGGACCTATTCTTACAGATTAGTTTCATAGTGTTATTATGAATGTTTAACACATTTCATTGCAGATTACAACACCATAATAAGGCATTTAAAATGTTTAAATGCTAAAATGATACATCCTTGAAAATGAACAGCACGCCGTTTTAAACATTTATGCAGGGTTTTGTTTTTAGCTAAACTGTAGTTGATTTGAACTGTGGCCCCTGGGTGATGTTTGAGAACTAGCTACCACTGCACCAACGATGGTCTGAGAGTGCATATACAGCCATTTTCTCACAGTGAAGCATCAACACGGATAGACATTCACTTACCAAGAAAATCAGATGCAAAGTAATAACGACATAAAAGAATAATCATAAAAAACAGCTTTTTTTCTTTATCCAAAACACAGTCTCCAGTTTATCTCCTGCTTTACATCGCTCAGTGTTTTTAGTCCTCCCACCACAAATCTTTTATAAACATACTATATTAAAAAAAGAGGACTTAACAACTGTAGTCTGTTATGCTATCGAGGTATTAACCCCACCAGCAAATGCATCCACTCTAGAATAAGCATAACAACGAACACTTGGTGCACAACTAAAGCAACATCAACAACATCAAAAACAACATGAGTGTGGGACTTGACAGCGTGTCTTTAATCATACAATTTCAGTATTTTACATTCCACATGTGGACATGTTTCTGCAGGGATTGTCGTCTTTCTCCAGCCTTAGTGCTAGTATGAGTTGGGGTAGGTTTC